AAAACCAGCTTCAACAAGAAAGGGAAATCTTTCTTCTTCAGATAGAATCTTTGTGCAAACCTCTTGATGGTGATCCTGCTTGTGAGCATAAGTATCAGAATGGTTAATGGCATAACTTTGCATTCTGCCACATCTGGGTTCAACTGCTGGCCACCTGTGGCAACCACAGGGGGAATGAGAACTTCCGTGAACCTCAGTGTACTCATCTGTAAAATAGGTATAATAATCAGACTTTTCTCAGAAGGCTGTTGTGAGGGTTTGCAGAGATGCTATATGTGAAGTCATTAGCAGGCCAGGTCAATGGTGTCCTGTGACTATTATCAGTTATGATCACCACCATCAGCGGCTGAAGCATCTTTACAATCATTACTCACATCAGCCATAGTGCAGGGGTTGAGGGCTCATGCTCTGGAGCTAGAATGCCCAGTTTTAAATCCTGCTCCTCTACTTCCAATCTGTGGGGCCTTGGGCTATTTAGCCCATTGGGGCCTCAATTCTGTCATCTGTAAAATGGGAACAGCAACTATATCTACCTCATAGGGTTGCTGTGAGATTGTTGTGAGTTAGTTTGTGTAAAGTGGTTAGGATAGTATCTAGCACATGCTAAGCACTCAGTAATGTTAGTTGTTCTTAATGTTATTATTGTCATTTCTTTTTTTAGATTATTGTAATTTTATTTATTTATTTCCAATTAATATGAGGGAACAATTTTTTTGTTGTTGTTGTACTAAGACATTTATTACATCATAAAAAGTCCACTGGTGTCCTGTTTTTCCATATGTACATGCTCCCCCCATTCAGCCCTGCCTGCCCACACTCCATGGTGCCAGTCATCTCTCCAAATTGACCAACTAATTAGTAAAAGAGGAAGAACTGGAGGAGGTGGTCCAGGGCTGATGGGAGTGGGACGGGAGAGGGGAACAAAGTGCAGGTTACATTGTTCTCATGTCCAAGGTAGAGTTCAGGTTGTTAAGCCTTTCACCCAGGGGGCGCATTGAACACCTTCACATTGTATACATTGTGAGATTCTGCCAACTGCTCTTCCCTCCTCCCACTGATCGCCCTCCCCCCTCCCCCAGGCTGAGAGCTGCTTTAGAGACTTTCATAGGGAAGGGCAGGGTTAATGAAATTCTGCAAGGCTCCCACACTGTGGTGGTGTAAATGGTGACTGTGCCTGTCTGACTCACCCTGTGTGAACATAAGGGATGGATTGTGTTTTCCCGAGGAGAAGGGACTGTACAATCCAGTTCTAAACAAATTGGGAGATGCCAAAGCCCAGATCTGAGGCTGGCAAACCACTGAAGCTACCAGGTTTTTTTTTTTCCTTCAGATCTGTTCTGAAGCAAAAGCTGCCCACAAAAAGATCATGCTTCATGCCAGATTAAACACTGCAGACTTACTCAATAACATAAGTTACTGACCATGGAAGAAACAAAAATCTATTATCTTGAAATCTAGCTTTAGCTGAAGGATCAAGGTATTTTCACTAAGACTTCCGTGAGATGTACCTGGTATTTGGATGGTGAGTCTGGGATTTAAAGATATGCAGGCAGTTTAGAATGCTACTGCTAAATGCAGATGGTTCAGAAAGACCACTGAATTTTCTAGCAAAATGCAAATGTAACACCGAAGGACAGAGGCAAAAATGCCAGCCTTCCAAGTCTAGTCCTTGATGTACATGTGTGGTGTAGGATGTGAAAGGCTACTGAGGGTCTGCTCTGGTGAAGAACGACCAAGCTGTGCTTAGACACAATCTGTAGCAGTCTTTCTTCCACACCGCCTGGCTGACGGGTCCACAGACACACCAGGGCACAAGATGAATTTCTTTAACCCCTGTTTCTCATGCTCTTGTCATGCTAGTTAGGAAAAGGAGAAGCCCACAGAAGAATTCTCAAACCTAAAATGCAAATCTGCACAGCTGGTGGGTGCTGGAAGTTAGTAGCCCAAACACATTGAGAGGCCAAAATGACATGGTTAGGAGGAGAAAGAATTGTCAGATAACCATTACCCAAAGTCATATATGTCAAAGACTATATTAATGAGTTTAAATGCATTTATTATTTAATCCTCACAAAAAGTATACAAGAAAAGTTGTGTACTACTATTCACTAACACTAAATTCCATAGACGAGGATAGTGAGTTTTAACAGAGATTAAGTGACTATTCAAGGCTGCATAACTCCTAAGTGATGATGCCTGGCCCTGAATGCAGGGAACCTGTCTCCAGAACCAGTACTCCTAATCATCAATTGAGAATCCAAAAAATCAGGGCGCACGTGAGGACTTCTAGAGACTAATGATGGGCTCAATATCATGTCCATCCTATCAGATCACTTCTGTCCTCTATACCTTCCAGTAGGGTTACCACCAGCCACATATGGCTATTGGAATGTAAATAAACTACAATCAAATAAAATGTAAACTTCAGTCCTTTGCTATTAAGCACTTTTTGTGTCCTGCAACTGCTGGCCTGGAATTTTTATTTCATTTAAATTTTAATAGCTACATGTGGCTAGTGACTGCTATATTGGACAATGCCGATTGCAATGCAGATTCTTGGGCCCTGCCTCTGTAGAGTTCTGACGCAGGGGATGGAGAAGGCCCAGGAGTCTGTGTTTTAATCAAACAACCCAATGATTCTAAAGCAGGCGGTCTGGCTTTAAGAAATTCTGCTTCAGAGGCTGAAGTATATACTTATCTGCTGGCCTCTTAAATAATTATAGCACATAAATCTTTTGAGACTAACACAACCTGGGCTGAAAGCCAGGCAGTCATCACTCTGCACTAATTGCTCACTTCTAGGACATCAGGCAAGGTGCTTAGTCACTAAGGCCTCATTTTTTTTTCATCTAAACTATGGGGGTGAGGATATCTGCTCTATGTCCTGAGACAAATGGGAACACAGATGTGAAGATATTTAAGGGGAACAGAAGGTAAAAGGTACTGCATAGACATAATGCAGGGCCATGTTTCGTTTGCCTAGCAGAATTTCAAAGGATTGAGATCAAAACAGTAATAAAAGAAAACCCCAACAAAAAGGAGCTGGTATCTACAACACAGAAATTACGCTATTATATTAAAAAGGAGGGAATCCTCCCCAATTCATTCCATAAAGCAATTTCACCTTGATACCAAATCCAAGAAAGGGCACAACAACAATAAAAAACTATGGATATCCCTTATGAACATAGATGCAAAAATCCTCAATAAGACACTAGCAAACTGAATTCAACAGCACATCAGAAAAAAAAAGTAACCCACCAGAAATAGGTGGGCTTCATTCCAGGGATGATAGGACAGTTCAATATACATAAATCAATAAATGTGATTCACTGCATAAACAAATGCAAAAACAAAGACCATGTATAATCATCTCAATAGATAAAGAAAAGTATTTGACAAAATTCAGCACACCTTCATGATAAAAACCCTCAATAAACAAAGTATAAAAGGAATCTTAGGATTTTGCATTTAAAGTAATTCTCATTTTAAACTTCTCTGAAATAACTAAAAGTTCTGACAGGATGGGCACATGTTAAGTTGGCAGGATGGTGTGATTAAGTGCAGAGTTCTGGAATCATATGTACAGGTTCAAATCCCTGCTCTATCACTTAAAAGCTAGCTGACTTGGGGTGAGTTCCTCAACCTCTCTGTTTCTCCAACTCTGAAATTAGAATTGTAACAGTATACTTCCCTTATGATATTGAATTAAGCAAGCTAATGTTTTAAACTGCTTTGAACAAAGTTGGGCATATGGTAAGAGTTAGTTGAGTAAGTCAATGAATAAATCAATATTCCTACACATGGTGACAAGCAGCTGGAGCTAGATGGTGGCTGTCCACTTAGAAGGAGCTAACATGCACAAGCTCATCACCATCAGCAACCAGACACCTTTAATTACGGAATCCCTGCAGTAAGAGGTGGATGGATGTCTCCCTCCTCTAGTGCCTTGCCTGTAGAGGGACAGATATACTTAGCATATCTTAGAGCACTTTCCAAGCTATTAGTGGTAAAGAACCAATTTTTTATTTTTAGTCACCACCAATGATATGTAGTCCTGTGTTAATGATACACAGCATATGAGACAAACAACTCATCCTACGAGTTCTACAGTGCCCTGATGGGTCTATGCTTTGATTAATAACATGAGCCCACTGAACATGCACTTGGATGTGGCAACAATGCTGAACCACTCTAAGAGCTTCTAAGTACTTTCGGTGCTTATCTCCCTGCTGGTGGGTAATGGGTCTCAGCCAATGCGATCCTCAGACTCCACTTAGAGTGGCACCATATTACAGAAGACCTACATTGGTCTTCACATGCACACAAACCTGCTGGACCACTTGGTTGGAGATAGAAACCATGGGATTCTCTCTCTCTCTTCACTTCTGTCCTTTTTAGCCAGTCAGCTTTCTCTTTGTCTAAGCCACACATTTCTTATGTCTTTATCTGCACATTAAAATCAGTTCCCTGGTGAGAAACTGGGGTTCAGAACAGTCTCAGAAGCTGTCATGGATGCTTTGGACCATAAATGGTCCCAAGTAGGACCAGGCTGGGTCAGCTGGGCCCCAGGTGTTGTAAGTACTGCTAACAGTTCACCACCGCAGCTTTGCTCCTGAAGGCTGCCTTCGGCCAGTGGGTCTGCCTCAAGCCCACAGTCACGACCTCATCCCACAGTTGCTCCCTGTTAGCCCAAAGTCAATGACTAACTGACATGGTGGTACAAAACATCAGTCCCGTTAGCACAAAGGAAACCAATGCAGGGTGCAATGCACCCTCCAGGGCCTTCTGTGGTTAGGCTGAAGCCAGACTCCAATGGAGACCTCAGTCCTCCCCTGCCTGCTCCCCCTGCCCAGCTGTCTCTCTCGCTCCCTTTCTCTGGGGAACACCATCTCAATGAAGCACAAGCACGCAGACCCGACTTAGGCTCTGTGTCCAGGGAATCTCATCAAAGACAGAAGCCATCCAAAGCCTGGGTTTTCTGAGGGAAGACAACCTACCTGTTGCATTTGACAGGGCCAGTGATTCCATAGAGCCCCGAGGGGTCTGCTCTGTGGGTGTCATGTCCTCTGTGTATTTCAGGGAACTGATGGGATGATGGGTCCGGCATTGCTGAGCAGTCATGCCCCCTTCCTCCTCCTCCTCGTCCTCCTCATATTTGGGGACTTGGATGCTACCTCGGGTCTCATTGAAACTCTGACTGGACATGTCACTGTAGCTCTCCTGGGACCTCAGCCTCCCTGGGTAATAGTCCTCATGGCACTCTTTGATGAAGCTGCCACTGTGCCCCTTCATGGCCAGTGATGAGCTCCTCTTGGGGTTGCTGAAGTGCTTGGGCCACATGTCAGGCTGGGCCCCAGCCCCCTGACCCCCTGGACTGTAGGACGTCCTGATGTTGCACTGGCTGAGGAGCTGCAAGGGACTCTGGGACTGGTTCTGTTCCATCTTGTTCCCATAATGGTAGGGCTCCTCCCGGCTCCTCCAGATGGGGTCTCGGTTGAGGCTGGGTGTCTGGCTGGACAGGCTGAGCAGGTCCATCTGTAGCGACAGTGGGTCCACGTCGGCCGACAGCCGATTGGAGCTCACCTGCAGCTGGCTGTGCTGGTTCAGCATGGGCTCCTCTGTCTTGGCTTTGTTCTTGCCGATTTTGGCGCTGCGCCGGGATTCCTTGGCCCTGGCGTTCTGGAAGGCCGAATCGGATGAGTCAGAGCCGTTGGGGTCCTCCCCGGCACTGCAGGCCCGTGAGCAGAATATCTGGCCCTGCTTTGGGAGGAATGGCCGCCCCAGGAGGGATTTCTTGCAGTGAGCACAGCAGAAGCAGGTCTCGGTGGCGTGCCAGTGCTGGCCGTCATAGGTCATCTGCCCTTGGTCGATCCCTGAAGAAAAAGAAGACACGGAAGAGGCTGATGAGCTGCCCAAGCTCTGCACTGTGATGTGAAATACACAGCAGGATTCCAGATGTGGCTAAATAAGTTGTCAATGAATCAGAACTCAGGCCCCCACAGAAGCAGTATTCATGTCCTGTTACGAGAACCCTTTATTCCACCAGCAGGCTCCTTCTTAACTCATTCGCTCCCAGCACAGAGAATCTAGAGAAAAATGGCCTGCTTGGGAATCTTCCTGCCTGGAGCACACTCCCCCCAGATAAACAGCGACAGTAATACGAACATATGATCATGCCTTGCTTTAAGAAGTTTACCTTTGTTAACTCATTTAATCACTCAACTGTTCAAAGTTGGTCTCTAATATTTCCATTTTTCACACAGAAAATTGAGGGATATGAGGTTAAGTAACTTGGCAAAATTAATATAAGAATCAGACATGAGATCTGCACCTAGGAAAAGTCTTGTTTCTAATGCTGACGTTGATACTGTCTCCTTCACTCTGATTGAGTGTCTGCTTAAAAGCCAACTCCTCTGTGAAGTCCACCCTGACAGCAGGTCTCTATTACTCTCCCCCCAACCTGCCAGATTTTTCTTCACATTAGGATGGTTTACATTGCAACATCACATGTGCATGTTTATTATTTATATGCCCCCCTAAAAGTGCAGCTCTGTGAGGACACAATAATTATGGCATCTCTAGGACCTGGAATGTGGCCTGGTTTTTGTATAGTGAATGGACAGAGGTATTGAATCCCATCACCAGTGTGCCATTTGCAGGGGTGAGTCACTGTGACAGCTGAGTGGATGCCATAGTCTGAATGTCTGTGTCTCCCCTGAAATGCATACATTAAGATCCCATACCCAAGGTGATGGCCCTGGGAGATATGGCCTTTGGAAGGGTGATCAGGACTCTACATTAGAGTAGAGTCCTCATGAATGGGATCAGTGCTTGTAGAAAGAGGCCCAAGGGACCTTGTTTGCCCTTCTCCCGTGTGAGGACCCAGCAAGAACGCACCATTTGTGAAATAGGGAATGGGCCCTCACCACATGCTGAATCTACTGAAGCCTTGATCTTGGACTTGCCAGCCTCCAGAACTGTAACACATTTCTGCTCTTTATAAGCCACCTAATCTGTGGTGTTCTGTTATAGCAGCCCAAACAGACTAAAATAGTGGGAAAGAGAAAAGTAGATTTTAACTCCTGGTAAGGAAAACCTAGATGTGGTCTTTATTTTTTACTTTTATTATTATTTTTGAGACAGGGTCTCACTCATAACCCTGGGTAGAGTGCTGTAGCATCACAGCTCGCAGCAACCTCAAACTCTTGGGCATAAAGAGATTCTTTTGCCTCAGCCTCCCAAGTAGGTGGGACTACAGGTGCCTGCCACCATGGCTGGCTAGTTTTTCTATTTTTACTAGAGATGGGGTCTTGCTCTCTTGCTCAGGCTGTCAACCTGCCTCAACCTCCCAGAGTGCTAGGATTACAGGTATGAGCCACCACGCCCAGCCCTAGATGTGGTCTTTAAAAGATATTGCCCCCCACAAGCACATGTGTCCCTTTCTTCCCAAGGCTTCTCAGTGATAGCACTGTGCCTGGTTTACACAATTTGTCCATACTGCATGCCAAGGGAGCCTCCCACACTCCCTGGGGACCTGGTTTTCGTCATCTTCTGCCTTCTTCTGACTAAGTTATCAGACTTATTCCCCCCATAGGACACCACCTCCCTGCCTTCCTCAGGCCACGAGCTGTGGCTGAGGTTAGAGACACCTCTGGGTCCAGCCCCGGACCAGCCCCCAGGGACTGGCTCATCTGAGGGTCCCCTGGACTTTTGCTAAGGCACTGACACAGCAGACTTTCCTCTTACAGAAGTTGCCAAACTGGCAGGAGGGAAGCACACACTTTTGGGGGGGCTCTCTGGGGGGGCGGAGGAAATAAAGCCCCACGTAATGACTCAGGATGGAAGGGACCTCTGTGGGAGTCCTGACACACAACTACACACAGCCTTCCAGGAAAGAGCACGGATGTGAACCTCTACCTTCAGTGGCTGAGAGTTCCTGACCTCAGACTTTCAAGGAATAACTTCTGGACTCTTGTCTAGAGAGGCAGGGACCAAAGGCTGGGGAGAGAAAGAGAACTGTGAGAATAAAAGGCCACAGCCAAGGCAGCCTCGCTCTCCCCTTCCCTGTCTGTTCCCCAGCTTACGTTTGTGTTGCTCAGGAGGCATGAGGTAAATTCTTCCCTCATTAGCTCTTTCTCAGACCAAGGTTCTCTCTTCACTTTGGAAGTGGCCTTCCGGACTATGAAGGGATTTTTAAAGGGATGGGAGTAGCCACTAGGGGCTCCCTAAGTGAGAGGAACACTGGATCAATTCCATCCTCCTAGCACTGTGACAAGGAACTGGCTGGGACCCCAAGGACACTTCCGCCCCAGGCCCACAGAGGAAGCAGTAGCAGACAACTCAGGGACACAAGATTCGGCAGTTGTTAAGAGGCATAAGGACTCTGACTGATGCAAGTTCAAATCCCAGCTCCATCCCATTACTGCTGGTTGCAGAAATGCTGAAGCCCATCCCTATGCTCAATCTTGATTCTGGAGCATTTTAGCTGTGTGACCTTAGGCAAGTGGCTTAACCTCTCTGTGCTCAGTCTCCTCAGGTGCACAGTGAGGATGATAATAGTACTTATTTCGCAGGGTTAGTTGTGAGGATTCAGAGTTAATACATACACAGTGTTGAGACCTGGGCCTGACAAGTGTTTTTTTCCTCTTCTATTATTTGCTATAGGTCTGAAAGGTCATCTCTCTCTTTGCTAAGGGTCACTGCCTATATGCAGTTCAAGAGAGAACTAGGAGGCTTCTCCGTCTCCCCTCCCCTCCCTCCTTCCCACTCCCTTTTACTCCTGGGTCCTTTATTGTGTCCCTACTCAATAAAGGGACACATCTCAAGCAGCTACAGCCTCCCCCGCTCTCTGTACTGTTGGGGTGCACAGGGAGTCCAGTCCCCATGGCCTGCCTGCCACCAGCTGCTTCGCCATGCTTGGCGACAAACATGCTCAGATGCAGCGGCGAGGCCTAGTTCCCAGGGACAGGGGGCCTCAGGCAAGGATGGGCTCACAGAGGGGAGTCAGGTCGTTAAAGAGGGCCCAGTGGGCAGCAGACCGTGGCCCCTGATAAGCATCGGCGATGTCAGATGGTCCTCTGAACTGCTCCTGAACTCTAAACATCTGGAAAAGGGCTCTGCTGGCCAACATCTAAGTGTTCCTTTTTTATTCCTTCTCTAAGCCCTTTAAGTACTTCCCTGAGGGTGGATGTGTCTACTGCTGCCACAGCCTCGGTCTGTTTATAGGACTGTTTACTCTGCTGCGCACAGGCAAAAGTACCGTTGCCCTAGCAACAGCGGCTGATGCAGGGGCTGCTCTGAGCAACTATATAAATATGGAATATTTGTACAGTACGGTCCGAGGTAACACATCCAGAGACTGAGGAATCTATGATATACAGAGCACACCCTTCACTGTTGCAGGAAATCACGTTTTACAGAAAAGTGGACGTAAAACAAACAGGGACAACATTTTAACTACAGCAGCGAGATACTGCAGGCCATGGTGCCCCCTTTCTGATAAAACACTGATGCTTTTTTATGGATTTAAGAGGAAAGAAGGGAATGCCGGTAAGAGTCCTAGGTAGTTAGGAGAAGAGAGAAAGAGACGAAAACCAGGCGCCACCTGAGGTATACATGCCACAGCAATGGACAGAGATAGATTTTCTCTCTCCCATGCGCTGAGCAAAAATTCTAAGTGGCCGTTTCTAATGAGGCCTTCAGCCTTCATAGAAAGAGACAGAGGAAACAGAAATACCAGTGGGATGGGGGCATCGCTGCTGTGGGCTGTTTCTGTACACTCAGCCCTGCACATCTGAGCCAGCATTTCTCTGCAGACTCGAATCCAATCTGAGGTAAGCGATACTGGGCATGGGGTGCACCACCTTCCCTGACACTGGCCACTCCCTCTCCTTTTTCACATGGGCAGCTGAGCGCCCTCCACCCTTGCTAGCCCTTAGCTTGAAAGGTCTGTTTGACTGTTTTAATCCTGTGAGAACTGAAAGCTCCTGGGCACAAAGTTGAGGCACCAGGCTGTGAGAGGAGTGAGGTTTTCAGGGGTCGGGGAAAAGGGACTGACCAACCACCACCAACCCCAGGGAGGTTGCAACTGCACTACAGTCTCCACAGCAGAGCCCAGCCCTGGGTGGACAAACTCCAGCTCAGAAAGGCCTCATAGGAACAGGCCTGAGTCCGTGGGACAGGATTGCCCCATGACAAGGCGCCATCAAGCATGTGGTAGGTATTCTGCCCCCAAAGCTGGGATTTTTATGGGTACCCAGAGCTCTCCAAATATTGTTCATTTGAACACATCACTCCTGATGAACCAGGAAGACAAAGCCACTTCTTTTTGGTCCCAATAAAAACTTTTACAGGAGACCAAATGAGCTGTGGAACAGATTACTTCCATAGCTCCTCACCATAGGTAGGAAGTTGGCAGCTTCTGAACACACTTCTTGGGATTGCACAAGTCACAGGATGATTCACCACTTTTTTTTTTTTTAAATGGTTGGCTCATTCCCAAGGTGCCAGAAAAGGCAACTTGAATGAAGAAGCCACAAGGCTGTATGATCTGGGACAGTGTTGAAGGGTTGAACGAATCAGTTATTTGCAAAGGAAAATGATCTTTACCATCTCGGATTTGCTGCTTATTTGGGGAATTAATAGTAGCTTCTGAGTTATTTGAGGTTTGTTTGCTTTGCATTTACTTGGGGGAGCTTTTGCTAATTTTTTTTAAAGACATGCTTACTAGAAGTTGTCTGGTTTCCCAGATTGTTCCTTGCCACTAAGAAGACTTCTTTCCTCTGCTGATCTGTGACTTTTTCCAAGGAGGCTATGGAAGACATTTGTTTATATTTTTCCCTCAGATTTTCCTTCTGCCCCCAGCCCCTGGATTGAGTATCACCAAAGCAGCACTGATAAGATTCTCATTTGGAGGAATAGACTTGGAAACTGGAAGAAACACAGTCCCTCTCCTTTTGAGAATACAAGTACTAAGACTAGGCATAACTAGTGGGTCATCTTGGTTACCAGGTGAAAATAGCTTATTCCCAAATGATGCCAAAAGAAGGCAAACTGAAGTGAGACGTAGAGGAAGAAAAAAATACAGATTTTGTCTGAGCCCTTGATCTCTACCTACCTGAAGCCAGTACCTGAAGCCAGTATACTCCCTGACCTTTCTAGTAACATGATCCAAGAAATTACCCTTTTTACATAAGCTAGTATGTGTTGAGTTTCATCACTTGCAACCAAAGATACTCAAACTATACCAGACACAAAGGACATCCAGTCACAGAAAGGACAAACTGAGGGCCAAGCACTGGCTCACCTATGTGCTGGGCACAAGTGTCACAATATTCCGCATACAAGGACTCGAAGCAGTGGCAGCAGTAGGGCCTCCCCTCCTTCATGATGTAGCGCTGGCCACCCAGCACTGTCTCACACTCGAAGCAGCAAAAGTGTTTCATGTGCCAGTGCCTCCCCTCGGCTTCTGTGCATTCATCTGCAAAGATGATCTGGAGATGGGAAGCCAAATGGTCAGCGTTTGAGACCCAGACATAAGAACATACTTTGAAGCAAGAAAATTTATGGGGCCCCACACTAGAAAGGTAAGGAAGCAGACCCACTTGTGACTTATTAAACAGAAGTCTGTATATATATGTTTATTCTATTTATATATGTTTATTTATTAATATCTACATCAGCTCCTATATGTATGAGGATTTGTCTAAAGCACAATTAAATATGGTTTCTGTGCCAGCCAGTGACTAACTTAACAACATTTTAATAAGAGAAAGAATGTTTTATCCTGAGAATACAAAGACAGCTCAGAGGCACACTGGACATACATATCTGGTTCGTTTGGCCTGTACACAGCATTTTTTAAAAAGTGGGAAACATCATTTAAACGCGTGGATTTATCTTTTAAAAACACACATTTGGCAACGCTCAGCACACATTCCTGAATGGCAGGAAGAAGTGAGCACTAAGAAGAGGGAAGGCTGTTTGCAGGTGAGTGTTGAGCTCTCTAATTTGTGATAATAATCATTGCTTGAAAATAGGTCATCTTCATTTATAATACCTGCCTAGCCCTCAAAAGCATTTGTGTTTTGGCCCCTGATATAATATTTTTAAATTTCAAATAGCAGATTTCAAAACCTAGTACAAAGCTATGGTAATTAAGCCAGTGTAGAACTGGCATAAGGATGGATATATACAGGGTGGCCATAAAGTTTGTGTGTGCAATTTAAAATAGTGTGCAACTTAAAATTACACATGAATTTTATGGCCACCCCATATATAATAAATTAAAAGAATAGAATGAGAGTCCAGAAATAAGCCCATACATATAGGGTCAATTAATTGGAAGGGTGCCAGGACCCTTCCACTGGGAAAAAATGGTCTTGTCAACAAATAGCCTTATGTAAAAGAGTAAATTTTCTTTATGTCTATCTCAGACCATATATGTATAAAAATTAACCCAAAAGGGAACAAAGACCAATATGGCAAAAAACTATAAAAATCTTAGAAGAAAATACAGATAAAAGTCTTCATGATCTTGGATGAGGCAGTTTCTTAGATATGATACTAAATGCAAAGAGCAACAAAAGAAAACACAGAAAAGTACACTTAGTTCAAATGAAAAACTTTTGTTTCTAAGGGCATCTCGAGAAAGTAAAAATACAACTACAGAATGGGAGAAAATATTTCTAAAACATATTTCTGACAAATTATATATTTGGACTAGTATACTTAATATGTAAATAAGTCAACAATAAAATAGAAAAATAACCCAATTGAAGAAGGGGCATTGGATTTAAAAGGATATTTCTCTGAAAAAGAAGATATATAAATAGCCAATAAATGTATGAAAAGATACTCAAAATTATTAGGTGTTAGGGAACTGTGAATAAAAATCTTAATGTAATCTTATTTTACACCCACTAAAAAGGCTATGATAAAAAAAGACAGATGATAAACAAGGGTTAGTAAGGAGGTGGAGAAACTGGAACCTTCATTCATTGACAGTAGGAATGCAAAATGGTATGGCTGATTTGGAAGACTGGCATTTATTAAAATAATTACAGTCAGAATTATTGTCTGACCCAGAAATTCTACTCCTAGCTATATATTAAAAAGAACTAAAAATATAGGTACACACAAAAATGTGTACATGAATATTCACAGCAGCATGGTTCACAATAGCTAAAAAGGGGAAACAACTTAAATGTCCATCAACTGATAAATGGCTAAACAAAATGTGATGTATACATCCATGTGAAAATTATTTAGCCATGGAAAGAAATGAAGTATTTATACATACTATGATTTGGATTAACCTTCAAAACGTCATGGTAAGTGAAAGAAGTAGACTCAACAGGTGACAGACACATTATATAATTTCACTTATATGAAATGTCTGGAACATATAAATCTACAGAGACAGAAGAGATAGTAGCTGCCAGGGGCTGGAGAGAGGGGAAAAGGGAAGGGACTGCTAATGGATACAAAGTTTTTCCTTGGTTGGTGAAAATGGTCTGCAAGATAGTAGTGATGGCTGCACCGTTCTGTGGATACACTAGTAACCCCAGGAACTATATATCCTAAAAAGGTGAACCTTAATGCTAAGTGAATTATATCACAATAAACAAAAATTTTTTTTGTGAGACAGAGTCTCACTATGCTGTCCTCGGTAGAGTGCTGTGGCGTCACAGCTCACAGCAACCTCAAACTCTTGGGCTTAAGCGATTCTCTTGCCTCAGCCTCCCAAGTAGCTGGGACTACAGGCGCCCACCACAATGCTCAGCTATTTTTTGTTGCAGTTGTCATTGTTGTTCAGCTGGCCTGGGCTGGGTTCGAACCCACCAGCCTTGGTGTATGTAGCTGGCACTGTAAGCACTGTGCTAGGGGTGCAAAGCCAAACAAAAATTCTACAGTCCTCATCTTCTGTCACTACTGGAGAACTTCACAAAGTTTTACAGATGTGGAAATCGAACCATGAATCAGAGTTGGACCTGAATTCAGTTTTCCAACTATCTGCCTGGAGGATCTCTCTAGTCTAGAATATCACTATTTGCATTAGGCAGGCCAGCTTCCTCCTAGAAGAGTTAATCCCTCAAAGGCAGTTGGTAAAAGCAGCCCAAGTGAGAGTGCATTTTCCCACTGAGTACGGGAGTGTTACCTCCCACACTGGCCGTATGCAAGGTCAGACAGACCCCAAAACACTTCTCTGCACAGGAGGGAACTCCTGGCCAACACCTTTCTCCTAATTATTCTCATAAAATAGACAGGTTTAGAATATTATTCTTTCTGCTCTTAAATTGACAAAGCTAAATCAGGTCTTTTGGATCTCCATAGGGCCTGCTTCTGGTGGGGCAGGAATGCCAGGCGGGGGCCTGTGTTCTATTCTGCTTTCTTACCTAGGTAGTAAATTCAAATAGCTCTCAGAGCATGGGGCACAGGTGTCAAGATGGGGCATGCATCTGGCTTCTAAATTTCCAATCAGAACTCCTGATAATAATGCTATCCATTTTCTTCTCTTCTCTAACCAACCCGCCCTCCTGAAAATTGGAAAACGAAACAATTTTAAGATTTAAGCTGCACTCCATTACTCATGATTACTGCTTGGGATCAGGACTGAAATCTAAAGCTGTACCTTGCCCTTTCTTTTTTCTAAGAGTTCAGAACCGACTTAGTGCTAGTTATGTGTCACTTGGTGATCTCCTTGGCTATAGAAATTGTCTTCCCACCAGGAGGTTATGAGACTGTCATGTTCACTAAGGTGGGCCACAACCCAAACACTGTAGTGACCAGGAAGGGGGCTTCTCTCTTTACTTCTCTCTCTCTTTCTCAAGGGTTAATGCATAGAGGATGGAGTGGCTATGGTTTCCCTCTGAGCAGGAAACCACAGGACCACGTGTTGTGGGCAATGGTGCAACCGAGGGGGTGACGGGCAGGGCTGAGAGCCTGCTGGAGTTTGCTCTGACCTCGTCACAGGCTGCACAGCGTGGCTTCAGGCACTCGGCATGGTGCCTGCCACAGTATATCTTCCCATCCTGGTAAAAGTAGATAAGATCCACCAGGAGCTCATTGCAGACAGTGCACACGAAGCATGGTGGGTGCCAGCAGACGCCATGGCCCGCGCGAGAGGCAAACACAGCAATGTCCCCACCATTGATCTGGCCACCACACTGCAAGGCAAACACAAGAATCAGTACCCACATTAGCTCCCATCTCTCAGTGCGGTATACACATGACAAACCACCACTGCCCATGGCTGGTCATTGAGCACTTAGGCTCACACGTGGCAGGGCAGGTTTCTCTTGCCCTCCCCAATCCTCCTTTCCAAGGACCCACAATTAAGATGGAGATAAAATAACTGGGAGAATAAAAAAAATCAGAAAGGTAGGAAAGAAAAAATAAAGCTCTTTTGGCATAATAATGTACAGGGGCTCTGTAGGCAGAAGGTAATCTGGCACAGTGAAGTCCCCCTTATCATCTACCTACTGCAAGCTCCATGCAGAAGCACAGCCCAGCCTAACTCCAGGAGAAGCCGCAGAGAGGAGCTGGGGCCTGTGCTGTTGGATGGGGGAGGGGAGTCCATCAAAGCACGCCCACTTTTACCTGCCTTCCATGGCCTTTCAGGCCTGCTTTTATCCTGCTTCCTCCATCTTTTTCCATAGTCTTGATTGACAGGCATCTGTCGTAAGGCCAGACTATGGAAGGGGTTTCTTTCATATCCCTTCCCTACTTTCTTGCTCATTTTCAAAGTTTCCTCCTCTATGTAGAACAGAACAAGGCGGAATCCCTGATGACCCATGTTTACGGTGGGGGTTGGGGTAAAAAAAATATGGTTTGTAGGTCTTGGAGGGAAATGTGAAGAAGTGGGTCCAGGGAGATGCTTTCTGTTGATCTTGGCATAGGCCACAAGCCAGTGCCAAGCCTGATGGCCTGAGTCCAGTACAGGTTCCCACATGAGTGGCTGAGATCTGGGGACAATGTTGAAAGAATGGAGAAGCTACTTCCAAAACTTTCCCACACCATAGACATGGAATGGATTGAAGTGCATCATATAAAATGAAGTCAAGGCTCGGCGCCTATGGCTCAACCGGCTAAGGCGCCAGCCACGTACACCTAAGGTGGCGGGTTCAAATCCCCAGCCCGGACCTGCCAAACAACAATGACGGCTGCAACCAAAAAATAGCCGGGCGTTGTGGCGGGCGCCTGTGGTCCCAGCTACTTGGGAGGCAGAGGCAGGAGACTCGCTTGAGCCCAGGAGTTGGAGGTTGCTGTGAGCTGTGATGCCACGGCACTCTGCCCGGGGGGACAGCTTGAGGCTCTGTCTCAAAAAAAAAAAAAAAATAAAATAAAATGAAGTCAAGTCCTCATGAAATAGTCTCTGGGACCTCAGCCATGTGTGACCAAACACATGTTTGTATGTTTGTATGTCCCTTTCATGGGACCATTCCTAGAGCTAACGTATGCATACATAATCCTAATTAATTCTCATCATAATTTTATAGCGTTTGTCATCCCCCTTTGGTAGATGACAAACCATGGAAAAGTAATCTGGCTGAGATCATCTGGCAGGAACATGAGTAGAACTTATGAATCTTTCTACTTCCACCATCTTGGCACTATTACACACTACTCTCTACATCTGCCATGAGAATGCCCAACCTTCCTTCCCCTTTACGTGAGCCCTGCTTGCCTGGTTTCAGGAGACTGGAGAGTGGAGAGGGGCTTGAGTTGAGCACAATGAATCTTGCATTGTAGCCACTGACTTCCTGCATCTCTAAAGTAGGTCCCAAGGGAGATTTTAATGAAGACCCCACTGCTAAATCTCTGGTCAAGTAGCTTCTCCTTCCCAGCTGAACCTTCTCATACTACCCCTCGGAAATCTCAGAAAAGGGCCCCAAATGGTATCTCTTCCCTCGGGTAGTATCCTGCGTCCTCTTCATTGATCCAGCTGACATATCCTCACTCCCTGCTGGGTCCACCCACAGCCTACAAAGTTAGGTGGGGCTGTTAAAAAAGCAGCAAGACCTCTAGAAGCGCCAAGAATGATGATCAACACCAGGAAGCTTTTGGCAGCTGAAAGGTGGGGCAAGGTGAACCCCAGTGGGCTGGATTCCCACTTTTCTGCCTTTGTAAGTCTCCCTCACTATGCCCTGAGCACTCTGCGGGAAGGAGGAAAAGCAAATCTAGGCTCTTCAACTTAGTAGGGTCCCAGGAAAAATGCAGTGGGCTGCATGCACCTCTAGATAAAGAACTCCCAAACCACAGGAGAAGATCATTTATCATCCCCACTAAATGGCACTGATCCTGGGAAGTTCCCAGGAGAGAGCCAGGGCCTAGGTAAACTCCATTTTCTAAAGGACTCATTTAAAAATATACATGCATCATGTCATTCCTCTGCTGTATCCTTCTAATGGCCCCACGGTCCTCCACGAACTCTGACTCTCTCCCTTCACTCCCTCTGCCCAGCTATACTGGTCAGCTTGCCTCCTGCCTCAGGGCCCTTTTGCCTCTAGATCTGCACAACTCACTTCCTCTTGCACATCTTTGGTGTCTCTGCTCAAACCCTACCTTCGGGGGTCTTTTCCACCACCTCACTTAGAATCACAGCCACCCCACACATCCAGTACTTCCTAGCCCCATTCCCTGCTGTATTGTTTCCATTTTGTTGATTGAATTTATTGTTTGACTTCTTCCCCTAGAACAGCGGTTCTCAAGAGTCATAGCATTAGGAAGGTTGAGAACCACTGCCCTAAAACATTACTCTTCAGAAGGAGTCTTTTGTTTGATGCTGTATCTTTCTCCAAGGCCTGGTACATGGTAAGCACCCAATAAAACAAGTGTTGAATGAATGAATGAAAGGACGCCAGAACAATGCCACTGCACTCCTCAGAATCCACACTTACCTGTTCACAAATAGCTCCCGTCATGGTGACTGGGAAGGGCCTGACATTCCCTCGGCCCAAGTTTTCACGTTTCCTCTGGTTGCTGAACAGCTTTAGCTCCCGCTTCTCTTCCTCATCCAGGGAGTTGCAGTATCGGACCTAAAAAGACACGGAGAATGGCAAAGAGGAAGTCACCCTTGCTCCTTGAGATTCCTGAAGCTCAAGCCTCTAAGTTTTCTCATTAAACACGCTCCCATTTTCTTTTATAGCCTTGGCCTTAACTTTAACACCCCACCAATCTTCACTTCACCTCTGTGAAGATTGTGCACAGCCAAAAGAGCTTACTAAAGGCTCTGAACTCAAGCTCATCCTTGGCAGGCTGAAGGCTCTAGAACCGCTCCTTACCCTTACTGCCACACTCTGCCCATCACACTGAGATCTAATTATCTGGGGTGGCTTTGGTGCCGTCGATTATCTGGAATGTTCTCCTTCTTATAAACTGATTATAGAGACTAAATACTTCTATTTCTACGTCCCCATATAAATGATCTTTGATAGCAAGAATGACATTCGGTCAGTGAGCCAGAACAGTTGTCTACGAGCTTAGAGCTTCTTCCGTTTTCTTGTCCCATTTTGGAAAAACAGGGAAAGGCATGAGCCTAAGGAGTGGGTCCTGAGGCATCTTCTGTGGTGCTGCCCAGAAGCTCCTGCAGGTTTGTCTGTGTACAAGAGGGTAAGGGCTGCCTTCTGAGCTTTTGTTGAGCCAGGCCAAAACAAAGGTATTTTTCTACTTTTTAAACACAGAAACACACAGAACTTGGGGGGAGGCATTAAAGACATTATTTGAATCCAGTATTTTTCATTCTCTTCCCTTATTTATGCACACTTTGAAAACTGTGCTGTAGTTTTGAACTATAATTTACTTAACGATGTTTTTAATACTGACTCACTTTCTAGAAACCTGAATACATTTATTTAAAAAGAAGGTATACTACGACTACGAATGGACCACTACCATCACCTGCAAAACCTGGAAGGTGGCCACAGACCCAAATGGAGTGAGGACAGACCTTGTGGTTCGGCTCTTGCAGGAGATCCCAAAATGGGGAGCCCCTTGCTTCTGAGTTAGAGGGGTAAGACACCTGCTAGCAGTAGGCTGAAATTTCCTTCTACATTTTTTTTTGAGACAGAGTCTTGCTCTGTGCCCAGAATACAGTACCTAGAGTGTCATGGCAGCACAGCTCACGGCAACCTCAAACTCTTAGGCTTAAGCGCTCTTCCTATCTCAGCCTCCTGAGTAGTGTGGATTATAGGTGCCCATCATGGTACCCCATTAGTTTTTCTATTTTCAGTAGAGATGGGGTCTCCCTTTTGCTCAGGTTGGTCTTGAAGTCCTGAGCTCAGGAGATCCACTCACCTCGGCCTCCCAGAGTGCTAAGATTATGGGTGTGAGACATTACACCTAGCCTGAAATTTCCTCCTTGAAATGAAATATAATTTAAAAGAGAGCAACTCTCTTACTATGTGGTTTGATTTTGTTCTCTGCCATGTCCATGTCCCACTCAGAGTCACATATATCCCACGCCTTAGGAACTCTGGTCCTAAATCCACCTCCCATCTTACTTTGGAGTCATCTGGATATCAGGATAATTGCTCAGATAATTTTTCATACAGCTGGTTAGAGGAAACCCTGTGAATTAGGTTGCATCCTAGTTTGAAAACCAGTGCAGCTGTACATATCAACATTGCCTTATCTGGGTGAAAAACAGGATAATCAAATATTTACTTTAGAATCACAATCACTCTTTGTCCTCACCAGGGTCATATCAAATCTGCCCCTGGTCATACATTCTGAATTCCTACCAACAGTAAATTGTAATTTGAATGGTGTCTCTTCTCATGAAAGCACAGTTGACCAGAAGCAGAATTAATCATTGATAGTAGAAAATAGCCAATCACTCCCATCAAGTAAAAAAAACAAACAAACCAAAAACCCCCAAAAGTCTTCATGTAAATATCCCAGAGAGAGAACTGTGGTGACCTGAGCATCCCAGAAGATATGGTGATGCCACTGACATTTTATGGACATGCTTTTAAAGACAGGCACACCCCTTCTGCTTGTAAAAATCAGCATTTTCCCTTCCAAATTAGTTAACTGGGTATCAAGTTACAATACCTGCTCTCCAGTTTAAAGGAAAAAAAAAAACATCATTTATATTTGTTTTATGAAGTCTAAAATAAGCAGCAGAAAAAAAGAATCATTGCTTTTTTTTGAGAGATTTTTAAGTTTTTATCCTACTTACTGAAATTCATTTTTGAGGCTCTCAAATTATTTTCTTTTATTTAAACATGGAATGATGGGACTAAAAAACACTCATCTCCTTTGGGGACTGAACTGTTGGGATCCAGCTTGTGGGCAGAAGACGCTGGCAGAAAGCTGGTGTCCAGCTGGGTTATTTCTCCTTTCACTTTAAAATTACATTTTGTTTTGAATGCAAAGTAGACAGTTCAATTTGACAGGATTACTATTTTTAAAAAACTTGATACCTAAAAATTAATTTCTTGTTTGTAAACCTAACCATTCCAGCCTGATGACCTTTTAAATGCATGTCTACAGATTTCCCTTTATAATCAATTTGACCTCAGGGATGGAAATGCCTGCCTATAATGTCACATGTCTGGGTTCAGGAAAAAGGACAGTCTGCTAGCCACACTTTCAACAGTACAAAAAACAAGTTGGACTTTACTGTGACAAAAACAAAGATGTTCAGAGCTGTGAATCTGGACATGTCACTTCTACTGTAGTGCAATGTGGAAAACTTGCACACTCATTTAATACGAAATGATGCTGAAAATTCAAGAGAGTCACCAAGTTTTTGCAGGGCTTGAAATGACCCAGGGAATTTCAGTCATCTCTCCAACATATGCAGGCAACCCACGTGGCATATTCTCCTTCAAGGAAGAACATTTGGACTTGAGCTTATAAATTTTAGTGCCCCCTGGTTGCCCCCAAATAGCACACGGCTACTCTAGTTCATAATGAGACTCTGCTTTTTCAATAACACTCCAGAAGTAAGGACTTTGGACAGTTTCTTTCACCTCTAATTGAGAAAGCTAAAACCTAAAATAAATTGCCAGACTTTTTTTGTTGGTAATCTCACTGATCACAGGAAGAGATTACGATTATGAAAAAGATACCATTTCATGGAAAGTTCTAAGAAAAGTCTTCATAAGGCCCCTTCCAGCCCCTTACCTCATTGTCATGTGGTGGCAGCTGGTGTAATAGCTGCTTGATCCTCAGCTTCTCTCCAGGACTGTTGACATAAGGGACTTTCTCTTCTGGGAGACAGCTATAGTACTGGTGAACCTGCAGGCAGCAAGCACACAGATCACTCACCCATTTCCCATACCACGTGCCTGTTTCCACTTACTGAAAAGATAATTCCCCCAGCAGGATGTAACCAACTTCTGCAGCCCTCCCCCTGCACGAAACTCAATAGCAGATGAGTTTCTTAAGGCAAGCAGAGAAATTCATTCCTAAAGAAAGAGTCAAGCAAATCACCCATATCTTGGGTCTCTCCCTCTCTCTGGAAGGGAAAAATAAAGCCAGTAAATATTCCTGGAAAAAGGAAATCCAGCAAACACACTGGTGAACCCGGGGGGTAGGGCTTTCTCGGCAGACTCTCTTGAGCGCTGGCTTTACCATTTCTCTGTTAGTCTCCAGTGTGTAACATGCCTCCCTAGCCAAGGGAATATGTCAGTACTTGCCTCGGCAATGCAGTTAAAGCCAGTCTTTGGTACTTGGCAAACTCCTGGGTACCTCAGCCTCTACCTACATTAAAAGCCCTCCAGGTTTTGAGCCATGTGTACGGTGCACAGCAGCTGACATCTGTCAGAAATAAACTCGCTAAGTCTGGGATGCAGAGCGTGTAATTAAACAATGTCATTAACATGAGGATTTGTGCACATCCTAGAACATCCTGTTTACGACTGTTAAGACACATTCCTGCACTTTATGAGGCTCATTCAATCCTATCAACAATGGGGGAAGGGCACCAAGCATCTAATTTCACCTGAGAAAAGAAAATAGACATTCTATCATCCAGCTACATGCAAAACTAGAGAATGAAAAAAAAATGAACCAAAACAGAAAGTATGCTATCATATGGGAAAGGGGAAAGAACCTCCCACAAGCTCAGATGACATCATGGAAAATACTTTCAGGCTCAGCACCTGTGGCTCAAGCGGCTAAGGCGCCAGTCACATACACCTAAGGTAGCGGGTTCAAATCCCCAGCCCGGGCCCACCAAACAACAATGATGGCTGCAACCAAAAAATAGCCAGGCGTTGTGGCGAGTGCCTGTAGTCCCAGCTACTTGGGAGGCTGAGGCAGGAGACTCACTTGAGCCCAGGAGTTGGAGGTTGCTGTGAGCTGT